TTTATAGTCTTTATTCCAGAGACTCTTGAGAACTGCTGGAACTGCCAGAAGTGTCGGAAACATCAGAAATGTCATCTCTCAGGGGTTCGACTCTTCTTTTTTTGATTCTTTTGGGTTTGATCTTTGGTTTGGTTTGCTTCACACGTTTGGCCACTTTTGGTCTCGTCTTTGTTGACATGAAAGTGAGCCGAGAGTTCAAAGACTTGATGTGACGCTCGTGTCGGGCGATTGTCTGACTTTGAATCGCGATTTTCTGACTCAAGTATCGGATACACGAGTGGTAACCGCTGTCTTTCCTCATGAGTTGGAGACCACACTTGCACTCAATGATGGCTTCGTCGCGATATTCGCAGCTCTTTTCGTGTTGATCGCTGTCTACGAGTTTGCAGACTGTTTGACATCCGTTGGCCTCAAACTTGCATTTGATGGACAGTCCGTCGAGAATGAGTCCCACAATTCGCGGCGCTTTTGCGATCTTTCGGCGAGTGATTCGCGAGCGGTCTAACGGACAGACGCCTACAGATGTGCTCTGATTTGCCCCCAAATCCATGCAATCGGTTATGCATTTTCTGCAGAAGAAATTCTGACAACACAACAGTTGGACCACATCTTCGGCCACGTCGTGACACACGGGACACATGAGGAGCTCTTTATTTATTCCCACAACTCTTTCGATATCGAATCCCATTTTTGATTCAATTCTTACTTTTCAAACAACAATTTACAACCGATTTTTGTTGACTACTAATTACAACAGAATAAGTGTGTGATTATTATAGTTTCTAATGTATTGTTGAGATGAATGCAAATTCAAATTCATTTTCCATTATTACCAAAATCTTAAACTAATGATTGATATTCTGTTCAGTACTTAACTTCATATGAATTGATTTAAAAAAAAATAATTTTCAAATTCTATGGTTTCTTAGACGAATAAAACAGTCAATTAATGTTTAATCAATAGTTTGAAATAAAAAATAGTATTTATTGATAGTTTTGTTTGATTTAAATAAAATTAATTATAGATAAAACAAAGAGTAAAAGAATTAATTACAATTAAATTAATAATAAAACACTAATTAATAAATTAAGAAACAATTGATTAAAACTGTAGTTCAAAGAAGCGTCGGGTGGAGTCATCGGAGGCAATGATTTGGTCGGCGATAGTCCACCACTCAATTGTGTCACTCCATTGAAAGTTACGACTCGAATACCACGGCTTCTGATCGCCATAGAAGTGGACAATCTTTGGATGTGTGTCGCCCTCACCGGCGATCGAAAGCCATTCCCATTTGCTTACAGACCAGTTATAGCACTGATGGATGTGTCGAAACGATTGGTTCAACGATACATATGTGGCGCAAATCAACTGCTCATCAAAACCACTGAAACACTCTTTTGAACCGAAAAACATTTGATTTCTCAATAGTTTCAGCATTTGATTGAATACTCTTTGATCGGGTCTTACCTGAAGACAAAAACAATTGATTCAACAAATTAACAAATAGATTGAATGAAATGACAATGAAATGGCGATTCTAACCAATACTAGAGATCCGATGCCTAAGAATGTATGGAAACCTCTTTTGATGAGATCGACGTCAACAGTGATGCCGTGTCTTAGCTCTCCGTATGGGTTGTCGATGCCGTGCGGACAGTAAGGCTTAGCCCACGGGAGTGAGAAAGTCATGGCCGGCGGGTCTAAGCCGAAGAGCTGGTGATCGCAATTGTTGGCGACCATCATATCCGCGTCGATGAACAACACTTTGTCGAAGCGGCCGAACATCTCGTGGTTAAGACAATTCCATTTCGTAAACGACTCTTCGATCCAGTCTTCATATAAGTCTCGCTGCCGTCGGGTCTTAAATGTGACACATCTTTGCCTAATGTAAGGCACAGTCCATACGAAGTCGTACCACTTCTTCAGCACTTTGGCCGCCCGGACACTGATGTCGTGGGTTATCATACAGACGAGGGAACTGTTGGTGCGATTGTTGCGAAGACTTTGGGCCAACACGAGAGCGCCGGCCATATATTTGTCGGACTTCATGACCAAAGTTACGAACGCATGGCTTTCGGACCCGCTTTCGGCCGTTGACTGCGAAGACATAGACGTCACCGGAGAGGAGACACACTTCATGGTGTGGTCGACCGGTGATAACGACATGAGACTAACGGTTGCGGCCATTGGTGTGCGGCTGTGGGAGAGAGGCATCACTTCAAGGACTGACACATTCGCACGAAATGCAGTCAATTCTCAAATTAGGTTTCAGTCAAACACTCAATCAATTCAAACACGTATTCATTGTTTGCATTCAGTCTTGCATTCCATTCAAAACTTCTCGTCTTTTGGTTACAGTTTTTGCCATTTATTTCAAAGCATTCTTTCATTCATTTATAATTCGCGCAAATTTTTGACAAGTTTTGGAGCAAATGATGTGTGACTTGTGTCGTGTATTGCAGTGAAGTGTTGGTAGGGGTGTGTAGTGAAGTGTATGTGCTATAGCTGGTGTGTCTATAGCTGGGAGTAGTGGCGCACTCCTGTAATTCCAGTGACTGGAAGGCAATGGTGTGATGGATGGGTAGTAGTCGGGGGTTCTGGGCTTTGGTGTACTCTATGTCGAAGGGGTGTCCGCACTAAGCTCTGCGTCAATATGGGGGTGTGGGGGGAGCCCTACCCCTCCAGGTTGACTAACGAGGAGCGTATAGGCCCAGGGCGGAGACGCAGCAGGCAAAAGTTCCCGCGTTGAGCAGTAGTGGGTTCGCGCCCCTGAATAGGCATCACAGTCCAGCCCGACTCACTTCTCCGGACACACACTTTTTTGCATACCTTAACCTCCAACACACACCCACTCCCACCACTACTTTTATCCCACACCTCCTTCAACTATATTCACATTTATTGAAACACTTTTCACGCTTTCAGACATATTTTTCACTCAAATCGTACAACACTTACAACTTAGAAAAATGATTGACAAAACAAAAAGTTAACGTTTATTGTATTTAATGTGGAGATCAGTTCCGATGCGATCCAAACAATTGATTGTGTGATCAATCATTTGCTGTGAATGGGATGCAGACAAACAGATGCGAGCCTTCGCTCCCAATAGAGTAGTGACCGGAAATGAAACGCCGACCACAGCTATGCCACACGAAAACAGTCTTTTCATTAGACATCTAAACCAATTATGCAATCGATTAACAAATTGTTAGAGAGAGAGAGAGAGAGAGAGAGAGTGGCGTAAAATTGTAATTCTGGTCGAAGGCATCTATAGTATGGAAGGCACTATTGTTCACTTGCCTCAAGTCATTCAAATCAAGAATAAATATAAGGCTTATTTATAAGAGAGAGAGAGAGAGAGAGAGAGAGAAACTCACTTTAGGGGTGACTCGAGATAGACGAGGAGAATAACGACCGGGGAATCGGTGTCTCCTTCGACATGAAATCCCAATTCAATTAATTTTTTGCGGAAATAAATAGTGTTTTCGTGCAATCGTTTGATTTTTAGCGATGCATTGCTTTGGCTATCGTTTGTTTGCATCAATTCTGTGATCACTGAATATATTTGTCTGATAACCGGCGGTGACATTGGATTCGCGTAATAAAAGTTTGCACTTTTTTGGCGCAAATAATTGATTAGTTGTTTAGAGCCAGCGATATAACCACCCGAAGCGCCGAACGACTTGGTAAATGTTCCCATTAATATATCTACATCTCTCTGGTCTGTCCCGTAATAATCGCAAACCCCTTCAATCCATTGAGAAATTGGTTTGAAATATACATGTATTTAAACAATTTACGGACAAACCTCTGCCTTTGGGACCCAACGCCCCGATACTATGCGCTTCGTCTAAATATAAATAAGCCTTATATTTATTCTTGATTTGAATGACTTGAGGCAAGTGAACAATAGTGCCTTCCATACTATAGATGCCTTCGACCAGAATTACAATTTTACGCCACTCTCTGTGTGTTTTAGGCTGTCCTTCAATTATGCCATTCTTCACGATTCTCTCCAAGTCTTCCATATCTTTCGTGTCATTGTTTTGTTTTATTAAACCTTTTTTAGCACAGAATTCATTACGTTATATAAATAATTTTATTTACTGTTATGTTTGAACACTTTAGTGAAAGCTCCGGACAGTCGACAGCCCAGTATAAGTGAGGCGTGATTTTGCTCATCGCTTATAACGAGACAACCCTTTCCAAGAAGTGCTGGAATTGAGAAGGCATTGGTTGCAAATCCCATTCCGTATACAATACTGTCCTCAACTCCTAAATACTGTGCCACTAATGACTCCAATTTGTGATGTATTTCTTGTCTCCCTGAGTCCACACAATACTCACATTTAAATACTTCATTTAAATAAATTCATTCACAAGTCATACCGACTTCGTTTGGTGTACTCCCGACTCCAACTCCTAACTCTTTGATAGTTTGTTGCACTGAGTCAGTGATGTGGCCCTCATTTACAGAATAACCAAGGTAGTTATACGAACCCAAGTTTATCACATCTAACTTTTTTCCAGTAAATCTATTATTTCAATTTAAAAATAAGTTTTTATAAACAAATGGTGTCATAGATTTGTGAATAGTTTAATTTGTGGCTAACCTCCAGTTGACATTATGCTCATCAAACTGTCTCTCGAGTACGAGTGCTGTGGGCCCGGGAACAGAGCCTATGGTAAAGGTCCACATATCACAGAATCTTCTCAATATATTTCTGTAATAAAATCTCTCGAATTGACTGTAGAGAGGAGTGTATGACTCTCTGTCCACTTCGTTGCGTTCAAACTTGGTTTGAGTGAAAAGATTGATAAAATCATTAATAAATCCAAATGTTATCAGAATTACACGACTTATATAATTCCAGAAAATCATATTTAATGGTATAGTCGGCCGTCTGTTTGAGTCATTCATGACTAACTTATATATTAATAAATTGTACGCAAATTATTTGTATTTATATTATTAATAAAATTATACTAAATGTATATAGAACAAACTTAATATTTTTCTATTTCAATCAATATAAAAGAGTTTTGTGCTGAAATGTATTGTTTTATACATTAATTGTTTTAAACAGTTGTATAAATATTATGATTTTTGAATATATTATAAACTAATTTTTTATACATTATTATATTACTGTATCCTAATTATTAGATAAGTAATTTACTTAATTATTTAATTGCATTTCAAATACAGTAATTACTAATTAGTGATGAAATAGTGTTCAACAATAAAAGCATTCAATATTCCTTATAAAAACTTGATAAATAAAGAAGTTTTGGACAGTTTTATGTCAAAAATGTTAATATTTCCCAAATTCCAACAGGAACATATAATTGAAATAATTATAAGTAATTCACAGTAACAGTAATTTCCGGGGTTGGTATACGTGGAGATCCAATAAATAATATTCTTCATATGAATTGTGGTTAAAAAATTGTCAGTTATTAATATTACGTTATGCTGCAATGAAAATTTTCTGCCATAATCGAAAGTGTTATAAACGGATGCATTTAACATTACAGTATGCATAGGGCTAACAAAAGTAGTGTTAAACCCGAATTCTGTTCTAATGGGAGCTGTCAAAATCGAATGCCTACTGTATTCATATTCATATGAATCGTATTGCCGCTCAAATATAGCCACTTGAAAGCATTGAGAGCATTGACTACACATTTTGTGAACTAAATGTATGGCAAATGAATGCTTGTTTGCGAACGCATTGCGCGCATAGACTGTACTGTGAATTGAATGCAGAATCAAACACAATATGACATGAGATTTGAGATTTGGGTTAACTATTGGTATAAACAATACAATCAATAGACAGACAATGCATTCACGCATCCAATTGTCACAATCATAACTAGTATTGAGTGAACAGCTCTCGAGACACACACGATGTCCAACACTACTCTCAAAGAAGTGCTTTACGAGAATCTGTTGGCCATTACTTCGGCCGACAAAGACATCAGAACTAATGGCGAACAACAGCTCAAACTCTTGGA